GACCATAAGTTTTGGCTCGCAGTCGGGAAGAGTTTGCTGTGGTCTTATCATGCTGAAAAGCGGAATGAAGCCTCCGCCTAACCCACCAACACACAAGGCCATTGTGAGGGAGGAACAGGGCAAACTTCTCAAGAAGTATCCGTCTGGCAAGCTGCTGAAAATAAGGGGAGCTTTGCGCCGATCCGTAACTTGTCTGGTGGAGCGGCGGCAGTAATGATTTCAACTTCCTGTTTCACCTTTGAATTTCTTGTTTTGAGATGGATGACTCAGGTACATGAAGCTGCGCCAACCTTGTTGGACAAGGTTAGCGTAGAACTACATAGAAGGGGCGTGTGGATCTAACAACCAAATATAACAATAGATTGTCTACCTAGAAGACTGTAGGTGGCTTGCCCCCTTCTTCTGATGATGGCTTCACATGTTCCTGCTGAGACTCAGGCGGGAATTTCCTCGGACTGCTAGCATTTTTGGGGGGAAGGGTTTGTGGCCTGGCTGCGCCGTTCATGGGGCTTTCCCAACCACGATGTGACATTATTACATTCACATCAGGTTGTGGCAATAATCCTCTGAGCAGTAAGTGGGTTTGCCCATGCTCTGCTTGCTTGTTTCCTATTATAGTCAGTGACTTCTTTGCACTGCTTGATTTGGCAAAATGCAACGGCTACTGGGTAGCTGTTGTTCTTGTCCTGAATGAAATTTCGACAATGACGACTGACTTGGTCGCTTCAAAAAAACGACAGACCTCTGGGATTGACGTGGCACTGACATGCCAGCTGATGAAGCAGTTTGTCTAAGCACCTTGCATGTATTTCAATCATTCCAAGATTGCGTGTTCCATGGGATGATAGTAGATCATTTAATAGGTCTGTTATTTGACTTGCTGCCTTTCTCGCAGCCATTTAGGCTGTTTTTTTAATCATGGCGGATGCTACCAATCCGGAGGTGGTCACGTTGAACAAGCGCCGTCGATTTACTGCCTCTTTAGGCTGCTGTTACAAAGGGGCCTTGACAGAGGAATTCTTGAGGCTTGTGATTCCTGAGGCAGAACTTGGTGAGCACAAACGGGCATGGGAAACCAGAGTGCTCATTTGCAAAAAGCAGTTGCGCTGGCAACTACAGGTCAATGTCTACATGCTCCTCCGCTTTTTCGCAGTCTACTGGCTAGGTCCACCAGGCCTTGGCCCAGCTCGACATAGCCTGGACAAGTTGGAGGCAGGAGATTGATGTGGGCAAGTTCTGTGGCGTGCCCGGCTTGCCCGTACTTGAACCGTGGAGCCAGACTCAGAATAATGCAGTTACTGTAGTTGTCGCGCCGTGAATTTAATTTGTTGCAAGCAGTGTGCATCTTTCGGAGCTCCAAAATTCATTGCGTAGAAGGAAATCTTCTGGCCAAAGGCGGGGAAAAGTTAATTGGAAGTGGCGCTGTTTCCGTTCAGAGTCATTGAGAGAAGTGTAGCAGTTGAGAGTCATTGTCATTGTTTGAGAAGTGTGTTCTAGCAGCCTAGCACTCAAGATATGACGATCGTAAATGATGTAGCCAATTATTGTTCGACCGCCGCTGTATAGACTTTCAAGCGACTAGCCCTTTGACTTGCTCAGCCACGGACTTTCCCACGCAGACCGACCATGCCGCCTAAAAAGAAATCAATTGCTCAAGCGAAGAAATCAACTCCCTCCTCGGAGACAGAATCTCTAAATGGAACAGATTCCACAGCTCCTGCTGGAGGCTTGCCCCCAGGCTCAGGTGCTGGTCAACCAACGGAGGCGCAGGTGCAGAATGCCAAGTCAGCTTCAGCTGCCATGATCGCAGCCCAGGAATGTGTGAGACGCATTTTAGACCATGATGCTTTTTCGGGCGTCACAGAGGATTTGCCTGCCGCCATCGGCTCGAACAAATTCTCCTCTCAGGAGAACTCTTTTTTTCATTGTTTGGAGAAGCGAACAAGTTTGACTTCAAACTATTTTAGAGTTTTTTGATTTTGATTAGAGACTTCAAAGATTCGACGCTCTCAGACTCAAAGGGAGACCGATTGTCATCTGGCACGGAGTGGAGACAAGGCTTTCTTGAAATAAGCGGGCGAGATAGGTGGCCGAACAGAGCGGTAGGCACATTGCTATTTTCGCAAAAGTTTTGTCAATCATTGTCAAAACTTTCGCAAACATTGGAGTGGAGGGTCACTATTATTCATTAATAGCTCAGTCAGACAGACACATAGCAACGAACAATTTTTGAACATTTTGCCAGAATAGGAGTGGAGGGTCACTCTTATTCAATACAGGTTCAATCAGACACAGAGACACAGCCTCAGCAAGACAGACACAGACACACAGCAACAGTTTCCTTGTGGAGGAGCCCTACGATGCCTCAAAGCTGGCGAAGGCATTCCAGCAAGGAAGCTCCTATGCTTGTGCTATCAACTTCTTTTGGCTGGACTACTTGATGCTGAGTCTGCCACATGTACCTGTCATGGAGCAAGCTGTGTCTGGCTTGGTGAAGCAATACTTTGCAAGGGGGCCAGCTGCAGTACCGCAAACTGCATGCGTGGTGGTGACAATGCCATCAGCAGCCGCAGGAGAGGCTGCCAGAAGGTGCTGCAAGCTGAGGGTGGCATCCCCTCCAGAGTTGATTCTGGCCTTGCTGCAGGCCATTGACAAGGATGTCCAACAGGCAGCCGACCCAGAAAGGCTGGCTGAGTGGAGGCAAGTGCTCATGGCGACTCCTTGCGTGTTCCACTTCAAGGCGTCAGAGGATGACCGGCACTTGCTGGCAGTGCAGCTGCGCGAGGACTACTGCCAGAATGCAGAATCAATGAGGCTGAGCAGCCTCCAGAAATTATTCGATGTTCAAGGTGTCATTGAACGTAAAAGAACTACCACTGGCACACCATCGATGGAGGAGCTAGCCAGCTACTATGGCGCTGTGGCCTATTCCAAGCGCGGAGAAGCCATAACCTTGAGCTTCCTGCACAATGCTGTCTACGCCATCAAGCACCTGCTTTCCCACCCAAATATAGTGGCGATTCTGCTGGACCTGGATTCATTTGGTTCCCAGAATCCTCTCGACTCTGCTGGCAAGTTGGCGAAGCTGGCTAAGAGATGTTCTGCAACCCCTCACAAGCTCTTTGTGGTCCTGGACATGTTGGCTGACTTTTGGAAATCTGGATATTACACTGATGACAGATTTGCAGAGCGGGCCCTGGATGGCTCTCAGCCTCGTTGTGAAGGCAAGGGCACTGTGGACCTGGTGCTGGCGAAGTGGGACCTGCTTGACCACCTCAAGGGAAAGTTCATGGACGTCAGGGACTTCACAGAAGCTTGCCTCCAAAAAGAGTGCTGAATAGTAAGTAATTGCCATAGATTTCATTGTCATGCAAAATGCAACCTTGAAGTGGCTTCCCCCGGTTTGTCATGTGCCTTATTTGCCTTCTTTGTTCTGAATCAATACAACCTTGGTGGCTTGCCCCGGTTTGTCTATGTAAGTTTTGATAAGTTGATTCTTATTTAATATTCTGCTAAATGTAAATTGAGACCCCTGGTGACACACACCGGTTTGAAAACTGTCGACGCAACATTGGTGGCTTGCACCTGATTGTATGCAACGTTCTTGCAAGGCTTGAAATCCTGCCCCCGGCTTGTATATATAGTTTTTGTCAAGCAATAAAACCTTGGTGGCCTGCCCCGGTGTCTTCTGATTTCCTGCACGGCCGTGCGCTTCATGATGTATAACATTCATTATTTAAAAATGCTTCATTCATCATCAGACTTATACATGCATGTGTTCATTGTCATGGTGTCACTGCAAACATGCCTGCTTTTGGTAGTTGGTCAGTGAAAACCGCGGGCAACTGGTTTGGTGACAAATTAAAAAGTCTTATTTCCAGGTGTGAACATCATAAGTCATCATAAGTCATCGGAGCCCAAGGAAGATCATAATTGCATTAAACTGACATCTATGCGTGCGCACACCGCATATTGTCAAGTAGCGTAATGTTATTTAGCGTATTGTCTTCTCTGTAGCTTCGGTGGCTTGCCCCGGTTGCTAGTTGCAACAGTGATCAGTCAACTCGCTCTGACATCCAAGGCAGAAGAAAAGACGACGGTGAGAGATGTTTGCAGTGACCTTTCAACTTTCCGAAAGAAGTGCGGCCACATCAACAATCCGGGCTATGCGAAGGCAATGGAGATGCGCTTATCTTTTGTTCTAGACTGGTTTCGTTTTTCTACTTTAGCCCTGGCCCAGCCCTGCAGGTGAATCTGCAATGGAAAGCCACTTTGTCTCTTCCGGTCGAATTGCACCTGAGTTTCATCGAGGCTTGCGTGTTTGGGGCCCAACTAGACGGGCATTTGTTTGCCAATGTGAAGCAGAGGAAGGATGCGATGGGCATTCTGGAGACCAGCCCCTTCTGCGAGCGTGTGGCTGGTGTAGACAATGCACTGAAGGAAAGGGCGAAGGGCGACAAATACGCAGTGACTGTGCCTGAGCCGGATGCCGATGCACAGGATGATTTTGATGCATCTTACCTTGACACCTTGAAATCGGCTGACAGCATCACAGACCCTCCAGCCAGCGTGGTTCAAGAGATGCAAAATTTGAAGTCGGAGCCGAAGCAGGTTGTGGAGAAGTATGTTGCTGAACGCTGGAACAAAATTGACACAATTGTGCAGCTCGAGGTGGAGCCTGACAGTGGTGTGGCAGACTTTTTTCAGGAAGAGACTTGTAGCCTCCCCCATCCAAGAGCTGCGCCAGAAACCCAAATCTGGAGCAGGCAGCGAGTTTTACATCATGTTTGTGTATGACCTCAAGGCAAGTGGCGAAGCAAGTTCAAATCCGAGGACAAGGATGCCTCCGCTGCGCGAGAATGGTGGTCACGTCAAGGACTTTTTGAAAGGAGCCATTCAGGCGAACACTGGGGAGTTTGCTGATGACTTGGGCTGCCATGACTTGTTTGTACTCTGCAATGGGGGCAAAGATGGCTTATCGCAGAAGATTTTGCTGGCAGGCTTCACTGACACGGATGGCAACCCCTTGGCGAAAAGCGACCGGGTTCTCAAGGTGCATTTGGACGAGGAGGGCTATTTCGCTAGGTTTGACAAGGTGCGCGGATTTAGCTTCAATTTGAATGAAGATTATCATTGCATTACGAAGGAGCCCTTGGATATGCCCGTCAGACTCGGGAAGCATTACCCCAAGAGGTCCAATCGCAACAACACCTTGGGTCCTGTGGCTTGCCCAGCCTTTGTTCCAGAGCATGCCCACATGCAGCCATGGAAGATCAAGAAGGATATTTGGTCAGAAAAGAGCAAGATGAGTTGTCGTGTTGGTGGCCCTGCACCTACTGCACATGAGAAAACAACAAGGAAGGGGGATACCATGGAGCCTGTGAATTTCCATCAACTACCTTGGAAATTTTGGGCTGAGATGATCCACAGTCACAACTGTCAGGCTGTGATCGATTGCACAGTGGGCGCTGGCTATGTTGCAGAAGCTGCCATCCATGAAAGAGTACCCTATTTGGGTATTTGCCAAACTACCCTCCACAGCAACATTACCAGGCAGTACCTGTTCGCTCGGGTGTGGAAGCTGATGCAAGAGCATGGTTCGGATTTCTATATTCCGGAGCTGCACGAAGCTTTGGGACAGGACATGATGGTGACAGTGAGTATTTAGATCTTTTTTGATTAGACTACTGACAATCAATTACACTGTTGAATTCATATTTTCATATGAAAGCCCTATGTGAGGACATCACCGTGGCGAAGGTGAAAGGCCCTCAGCCAAAACCTCCAGCCACAGCCAAGGCCAAGGCCAAGGAACCAGCCCCTGCACCACCGAAAGCGCCAGGTGCTGGACAAGGTGGAATGGATTTGGCGTCTATGGTTAAGAGTTTGTTGTCGGGCAATGGCAATGACCCTGCGCCTGCGCCAAAGATGGGCGGCCAGCCAGCCAAGAAGCAGAGAGTTGGACCTGCGCCTGGTGAGGGTGAGGCAGAGGAGGGTGTTGCAGATGATGATCAGTGAGAGGCCCACTGATTTTTTGATTTTGCACTTGGGTCTTGGTGGCTTGCCCCGCCCATCATGTGGCTGCAGTGTTTTTCGCATCACGTGCGCAGTACATTTTGAGAAGGGCTTTGTGGCTTGCCCGGTTCTTCAGTGCTGTGCACTTTCCGGAGCAAGGGAAGTGTCTGACAAATGAGGTGCGCAGCTGCATTGTGATCCTTATGTCGAATCAGTAACCTACTTGTAATTATCCTCATGTCGAATCAATTGACTGTTAAATGGGAAAGCTAAGTTTTTGGGCTCAAAGGATCATCTAAGACCTGGCAGCATGGGGACGCTGACTGATCTTCTCTTTGAAGCTGAGTGTGAGATGGCCAACGATGGAGTTGGGAAACATTATGTGACTGTGTGTCAAGGTGCCCAGACCACCAGATTTAGACACAAAAAGGCTCGTAAGGTCCGGGAGTCGGCAAAGCCTCGCATTGGACTTGGTGGCTTGCCCTGTCCATGCCGTGCCGGCAAAGGGCCCATTGGACCACGATTTTTTCCCATGGAGCAGGCACCACAAGTTGTGACTGCCTCAGACTGCAGTGGGCTAGACACTGTGACAGCCGCCCTGAGAATGGCAGGAGTGCCTGCCAGAACAGCCTTTTTGTCAGAGAGTGACAAAACAACCAGAAAGGTTCTGAAAGCGAACTTTGCCAGAAATGGGGCTTTCGGTGAGCAGATGCCACGCATCAGCAATGACCTCACTGAAAGGGACGACAGCTTACTGACAGATGAAGGCATCGACCTATACACAGCTGGCCCACCTTGCCAGCCATTTAGCATGGCTGGCTTGAAGAAGGGATTAAGTGATCCACGGGGACTCATCATTCTACGAGTGCTGATGGTGATTCAAACGGTTTCTCCTTCAACATTTGTGCTAGAGAATGTCAAGCCGTTAGGGACACACAAGCGCTGGAGGCCCCTCTTCAATTTCATCGTCGGGTTCTTGCGTGGCATCCTAGATGCTGACAACCAGCCAATGTATGAAGTTGATTGGAAGGCCAGTGTTTCCTTTCATTTTCGTGTGGTCGGTCTTCCTTTCTTACTTGTTTTCTTCCTTTGATCAGCTTCTCCTCCCCATCTCCTTCCTCCTGCCTGCTGGTGTTAGTATTCAACCGACATTGTATATGACAATATTAATGGAGAGCTTCAGAAGCGTTTCTGAAAATCCACACAGACTTCCAGGCGTTCATAATAGGGAGCTTCACGACACACGGATTTAGCACGTTTCATGACCACACAGTGGCGCCAGAAATGTAAAACCAGATGTCTATGTTGAAATGCCTTGGTGAGGTGTTGTCGAGGTCTTTAGTTTCTTCTTGTTCCTTTGTTTCTTCTCCGTGCCCTGTAATATCTAGTTTAAATTTTATTGAAGCAGATCGAATTACTATTGAAACAGATCGACAAGTTTGCTCTGACAGTTGTTTGTACTTTGTTTTAACATTTTAGACGGATGTATTTTCTGGTGTCTTTCGTGCATTTTGCCCTTGCCCCAGGTTTTGCGGACTGACGTAGAAGGGGGTCTGCCTCAAATGCGCGCCAGAACCTTTATTGTGGGCTGGAAAAAGTCCCTTCAGAAGCACCCATGGGTCTGGTCCCTCCGCATTCCTTGTAAGAGCTTGTCCTCTCTCTTAGAGCGTGGCATAGAGGCCTCTGACCTCAAAAGCAATGAGGAGAACACGGAGAAGGCCAAAGAACGGGTTCATGCACACATGGTCAGAGCAGCCAAGCAGATCCAACAGTCAATCCTGACTTG